GGGTCACCATCTGGACAGAGCCAGGGGAGAGAGGAGAATAGTACTCATATTGTGTAACTGTGGAGGAGGAGGAGGAGGAGGAGGAGATGCACCCCTGGCCCCTCGTGGATTACTGAAACTAGCGGGGCTCGACCGACAATCGCGGGGCAGCCAGGCATCACCATGTAGGCAAGGTGCGGCCGCAGATGCAGCGGCGGCAGCACGAGCGCAACCTGGCGCCGGCGGGGGCAGTTGGAGAATTGGAGACCTGGCGAAGGCGGTGGAGGGAGGGAGGACTGCCGCGTCGCCGCTTGGGCAGCATGGACCTTCTGGGCGAGCCCACAGCCCACCCAACCCGCCCCACGGCGGGGGCCTTGGCCGAGAGGGGAGGGGCGGCGCCACCGGCGCTGGCGGCGACCCGCGGGGCGCTGGCCGCGGCCGCTGCAAGGCGCAGCAGCAGCCACCCCCCGTCGGCAGCCGCCGCAGCACGGCCCGCGCGCTCTCCCGACGAAGGCGGACCGAAAGTCGTTGCGCGCGCGCGAAGCCGCCGCTGGGACGGCGTCCTCTCTGACGGCGCCAGCCAACCCCCTTGGCGAACATCGCAAAGGATCCCCTGGCCTCGCGCCCCCCCCCCACCACCACCACCACCACCGTGGGCCTCACACCAGAGGCATGAAGATCACGCGCTGCGCCGCGCACTGGCGCTCGGTGTCCAGGCGATGCCGATTCAACTCCTCGCACCGATCCGCGGCCGCGCTGGAGAACACGGAGGGAGCGGCGAAGAGATCGGCGAGCAGACTGAACGCATGGCGAAGTCCCAGACCGGCAACCCGCTGCGCCACAGGGCAGGCAGACGTTAGCAAGGCGGCGGAAGCTGGCGTCCACATTCAGTCCGTGTGGCCCGCCGCCTTAGAGGCCCTCGTTGTCAGCGCGTGGCGGGAGGAGCCATGGCAATTCAAGATCGCCAGCGCGAGACCAGCCGCTAGCGCGTCGAAGAAGCCATGGCTCAAGATCGCGATGCGGCGTTTCACCCTGTCGCCGAGGGCAAAGACAGGCAACGGCGCAGCCAAACCAGACGCCCATCACCTCACCTCCCCGCAATCGCGGGAGACTCCCTCCTTGTCGAGGACCGAAGAGATGGACTCGGAGTCGCCTTTGCCGGCGGCCTCGTTTGGCGGCGCCCGGAGAAAGGCTCTGGCGGTGGGCGCCTGGAGCAGGCTGAGATGCGCCTGCGTGACGACCCGGGAGCCAGCCTGTAGGCGTGCACCGCGTCGCCGACGGCGTCGCCGGGTCGCTGCTGGCTGCCGCCCTGCTCCGGGCCCAGAGACACCCTGTTCCCCTCCGAGACGCACACCTTGTTCCCCTCCGAGACGCGGTCGTGGTGCACCCGCACGGCGTTTACGAGCGCTCCCCCGTCGTGCCCAGCCTCGTCGGGGTGGCCAGGCAGAGCTGCACGCAGCTGGCCGAGCAGGCGGCCGGGGCGGCCGCGGTGGCAGCGGTCGCGGGCTGCTCGGCCTCGTGCTGTTCGGCCCGTTCGCGGTCTGAGCTGCGCCTGCTTGAGGAGGAACTCTCACCCCGTCGCCCATGGCTTCACTCACGACAAGACGCCACCCCAGAGCAACGGTTTGCTGCAACAATCGCTGTTCCGAAGGCTGTTCGCCTTCACCTGGGAACGGGAGGGAGGAGAGTGTCCACCGTGACACGGGCGCAAGGTTTTTGGATTCACTCGAAAACCGTTCTATACATTCCAGCCTTCATGCAGAGGCGGAGTCATGGGGAATGTTCTCACCAGAGTCTCTGTCTCCCGTCACGCAGAGTCTCTGTCTCCCGTCACGCAGCCTTGTTTGGGGCTCAGCTTGAGTCCGCCAAGGACGGTAGCGCTACTGAACTGCACATAGCGTTTGAGAAAAATCATATATGACATGTTTTTCTCTCCCAGGTAACACTCGTTACCCGGGGGGGTGGGTCGGGCGGGAGGGTAAGGATAACAGCGGCCGCACGTGCACCCTCCAGGGTGCCTCTGCGCCACCGGCGCACCAATCGCCCGTGAGCCCCGCAGCCAGGGAGGGGGGTCCCAGCCACACACACCCAGCACATTCGTTAGCATTACCCTGGGGAGGGGAGGGGGGTGGGGGGCTTGGCCAGGGCAACGAGCTTCACCCTAGGGAAACAAGAACAAAAAGAACGCTCACTCTTCAAAGCGAGCAGCTCCTCGCGCACCCGCCAGACAGCGAAACCCACCAAAAAGCTCACTGCTGGCAAGGCCGCTGCGCCCACTGCCTGCAAGGCCACTGAGCGCGCGACGTTGCAGCGCATGAGCATCGTTTAACCGATCCCCATCCCCAGCGGCGTGGCCTGGGCCCCGCTGGCCGATTTACCCCCCTAGATGGGGATACAGGACGCCCCCTTCGGGTTTTGAGGGGTGTACCCCCAACTGGGGTTGTAATTTGGTGGGGTCTCGAAGGGGATTCGGATGGGGATGGGGGTCGGTTAAACGATACTGAGCGCAGGCGCTGGCACAGCCCAGTGTGCACCAGGGCGCGCGCGGGCGCAGCGAGGTGCGAGCCGACCCGCCTCTCTGGGGCACCCGAAGAGCTCCTGTGCCGCTGGGGCCCGCTGCCTCGCACCCTGGCAGCAGAAGGGGGAGGAGGAGGAGCATTAAGAGGAGGAGGGCGAGAAGGAGGAATAGGAGGAGGAGGAGGAGGAGGAGGAGGCGGAGGACGAGGAGGAAGAGGAGGGGGAGGCGGAAGAGGAGGAGGAGGAGCATCAGGAGATGGAGGAGGAGGAGGAGGAGGAACATTTGGAGAAGGAGGAGGAACAGGAGGAGGAGGAGCATCAAGAGGAGGAGGAGGAGGAGGAGGAGGATTAGTAGAAGGAGGAGGAGGAGGAGGAGGAGGCGGAGGAGGAGGAGCTCCTGTGCCGCAGGGGCCCGCTGCCTCGTGCCCTGGCAGCAGGAGGGGCCGGGAGCCTCTCGGCGGCCCCCCGAGGAGCCCACGACACTCCGCTCCGTGGCACTACGCTATCGACGCCACCGGCCGTGAGCTCAAGGCACGATGGCACCGAGCGTGCTCCCATTGCAGTTCCCCCGGCTCCCAAAGCTGAGGCTCTGACCAGAACGTTGCCGTCACAAGAGCGTTGCTGTCGCGCAAACGTGCGGATGTGGTGTTTAATGCCCATCTGAAGATCGAGCATCAAATTCGTGCCTCCATGGTTTCTTGCTTGAACCCTGGCACTTCCTACGATGCACACAAGTACTGTTGCCTTGTAGCTTCCATGCGTGACTGCTGGCGAGGGCTTCCCATGGAGATTTGGAGCCCGTTGGCGAGTCTGTGGCCTTGCACTCGGCAACCCCAAATCCATCGCAATCTGACGATATCCCGGGCCAGCTGTTGTCTGCAACTGTGCCGCTAAGGAGGAGGCCGCAAAACGAGCAAAACGACGACGGGACTGGATTGTTGCGGACGTTGGGTGAGCCAGCACGGGAGCCTCTGTGGACTTCCGCGGTCCTATCATAAACGTGGTTTCGACCAGATTTCGTCCATATATCGACCACGCGCCGTCACCCTTTCGTCCAAATTCCGTCTAAGAGTTCGGCCAAGTTTCGTCTGGATGTCGAGCAAATCCGACGAAATCCAAACGACTCCCCCGAACCGCACGGAATTTGGGAACCCTCGGAGGCTACCAGGAAGAACCACACAACTGAGGGGAAGGGAGAGGGGCAAGGGAGAGATGGGAGGGGGGAGGGAGAGGGGGGAGAGGGAGGATGCAGGGGCTGGAGGGGGATAAAGGGGAAGCAACAGGGGAAGGACCTGAACCCCCAGTGGACCCAGAACTCCGACATCGTGACTTCTTCACAGCGTGGACCCTCGGATGTCTGGACGAACAGGGTGTAGTGCGACGCCTATCCCAGGCTTCGTGGAGTTTTCGAATGGACCGAAAGTTTGGGGCCCAGCCCTGGGACACACGATGGGGGGCGTCCATCCTTTGTAGGGGTGCGTCCGAATAACCCCCTTGGGGTTGGACGATTTGCCCCGGGGCCGTAGGCGACAGGGCGAGGAGCCCAGCGTAGAGGAAGAGTTCGTCCAACTCAACCTCTCACCCCTCTGACTCGGGGGAGGAAGCGGCAGCGGGCCGCGGAGGGCGAGGAGGAGGAGGAATCACCGAGAAATCACCGATGGGGACCCTGTCCCTGCAGAAGAAAAGCGGATGCGCCACACGCATCACAGTGCTGCCATGGCCGCCCCTGGGGCCCCCTCTGGGCACGGATGGCGGCCCTCCGAAATCCTGGCCAAACTCTGCTGGCCCTCCGTGGTGCGTCCAGCACCACGGACTGCTGGCGGGCACACACGAGCCAAGTGACGTCCATCAACCGTGGCAGTGAACCCGCACGACATACAAAATCGGAGACTCATAAAGTCCCAAGACCAAACTTGATGGCTGGGGTCCACCAGTTTCCCACCCGCCCAAACCTCCCCACCGACCCGAAGAATCTGGACCCCAGCCACGTTCGGAGTGGTGAGGGTAGTGGAGAGCGGGCGGAGGAGGAGGAGGAGGAAAAGTAGGAGGAGGAGCAGGAGGAGGAGGAGGGGAAGGAAGAGGGGGAGGAGGAGGAGAAGGAGGAGGAGGAGGAGGAGGAGAAGGAGGAGGAGGAGTAGGAGGAGGAAGAGGAGGAGGAGGAGGGGTCGCCTAAGCCCTTCAGAGAAACCCGCCACTTGGGGTGAATCACATAGTTTCCCCATTCTCTGGGCGGCCAAACTTTTCGGGCGGAACTCGATGGGCCTCTCCTCTGGGACGGGCTTCTCACCCAGTCATTTCTGGACGGTCCAGGGGCCCAGAGAGGGGCCCCAGAGGCTCTTGTTCTCAACGCGGAAAGGAGGCGGCGGAACCGGGGGAGGAGGAGGAGGAGGAGGAGGAGGAGGAGGAGGAGGAGGAGGAGGAGGAGGAGGAAGAGGAGGAGGAGGAGGAGGAGGAAAAGGGGGACACGCGAGGCGGGCAGAATAAGGAATTCCCGGCTCCCCAGCCTGGTGGCCCTCTGCAAGTTCGACCACTCCGACGAGCCGGCCTCGGTGGCGTGAGCCTTCCGGGGCCGCAGGGAGGACGGCCCAAAAAGCACACAGAGTCTCCTGCGCGACCCCCGCAGACCACCCCGATGCGGGTCAGCCACTGTCCACCCAGGGCGCCTCAGCACGACTGCCACTGCTTTCACGTCACACACACACCAGAGTCGCTGACCCTGGCACCTTGTGCTTCCCCTCCCCTCGGTCAGCCAGCCCCCATTCGTCCCCTTTCTGGCGGCTGCCTTCCCGCGAGTCGACCCCTGCGCCACACGCCTCTGCTGCGTGATGGTGTGATGGGCCTGCCCGCGAGCTTCAGTCTCCGCTTCCGGCAGCTACCCTCCCTCACTCCGCCGCGCAGCTGCGCGCGTGGCCGCGACGCCCAAAGTCTGCCGGTCTGCCTGCACGCCTGCCTGCCTGCCTGCTCTCTCCCTCTCTCTCAGTGCTGAGCCTGCGAAGGGGGCAGCAGAGCCGCGTCGAGGGAGGTGGCGGAGAGGGCCCAGCCGAGCAGGGAGTCGCTCTGCAAGCTCATGCCCCTGCCCTGCTTGTTCACCACCTCCCTTTTCTGGTTCTTCCACACGAACTGAGGCTCGAACGCGGGCCTCCAAACCTCGTCCAGGCACGGCGGCGCCACGAGGGCGGCCGAGTACTTGCCGGACGAGCGGAGCACGCGCACCAGCTTGCCGAATTGTTGCGCTCGCGGATCGTTGAGGTGGCGGCCCTTCAGGGGCTTGGCCATCTCCATGACCATCCGAGCAGGGACGTCGTCGTCCTCGGCGGCTCCCGAAAGAAGCTCGTTCATGAGCTTCGCTGGGACGGACTCCTCGAGAAGCGCCGTGAGTGCGCGCACCTTCTGAAGTTCAGAGACACTGTTTCCACCCTGAGCGACCGTAGTTACTTTCTTTCTCTTTAGGTGAAGGGCGCCGAGCAGAGCAGCAAGCAAACTCAAGATGATTGCGCATGTATGTAAGTATGTGCGCATCTGCCTGCGGCAACTACAAGAAAGCAAGAGGCAAACTGATAGCAATACTTCACAGAATATGGAGACGAGAAAAAACTGAACCGGGTTGAGCTGAAATCCCACCAGCCCTCTGAGCGTACGTGGTTTAGGGCGTTTCCTCTTCCACCCCCCTTCTTCCCCTTCGGGGAGGGGTTCACTATTGCTCCCTATTATATACACCCCCTCCCCCAGGCGACTGGGAGCCAACCCGAGTCGATGAGAGCAACCCCCCCCCACAATCCATTGTAAGAAAAACAATACAAACACACACTCTGCCTCCAAATTCGGAGCATGCACAGCGAACCCGATGCGGCCTCCCCCCACCATCCCCGTCAATGAACACTACAGGGTACACTTGGCGGCGGCGGCGGGGGCAGCGGCTGCGGCGGGGGCAGCGGCTGCGGCGGCTGCGGCGGCGGCGGCGGTGGCAGCGGCGGCGGCGTGGGCGTGGGCGGCGGCGGCGGCGGCGGTGGCGGCGGCGGCGGCGGCGGCGGCGGGTGGTGGCGGCAGCGGCTGCGGCGGCAGCGCCTGCGGCGGCGGCGATTGGGCAGCGGCTGCGGCAGCGGCGGCGGCGGCGGCGGGCGGCTCGGTGGCGGCGGCGGCGGCGGACAGCGGCGGCGGCGGCGGCGCGGCGGCGGCGGCGGGCGGCGGCGGCGGCGGCGGCGGGCGGCGGCGGCGGCGGATTCGCCCCCAGTAGCTGCCCATCTAAAGACGGCTGCTGAATATGCTGCGGCTCGGGCCAGGCTCGGGTGCTACGTATGTGTTGGGAGGGCGGGTGAGAGTGAGCGAGACGGCTTGCGGGCGGGGAGGGCGTCTTGACACCTCCCCCCTACCCCGTCCCCTGGACCTGGACGGGGCTGGTCGCAAGCGGTCAGGGCGTCCAAAACGGCCTCGGCGAGGAAGCCAAAATCATGTGTTTTACTGCGGGGTGGGCCCCATTTGGGCCTCGTGTGTGGGGGGGGGCGACGCACAAACAAAACCTTTTCTGCTTTGATCGATCTCCTCCAAGATGACCCCAAGAGGCGCCCAGGAGGCCCCCAGGAGGCCCCAAGAGGTCCCAAGATGGCCCCAAACTGGCCCCAAGAGGCCCCCAAGAGGCCCTCAAGAGGACCCTAAGCGGCCCCAAGAGGCCCCCGCGAGGCACCCAAGACGCCCATGAACCCCCCAGGACCGCCAAGAGACCCCCAAGACGTCCCAAAAAGCTACCAAGAAACGCCCAAGGCATACCCCAAGAGGCTCCGAGAGGCATCCAAGAGATCTCTGGCACTTTTTGCTTGCCCTCCTCCTCCTGCTCGTTCTTCCTCCTCCTACTCCTCGTCCTCCTCCTCCTCTTTCTTCTCCTCCTCCTCCTCCTCCTCCTCCTCCTCCTCCTCATCATCATCACCACCACCACCACCACCATCATCATCATCATCATCATCACCATCATCATCATCATCATCATCATCATCATCATCATCAGCATCATCCTCATCAACATCATCATCATCATCATCATCATCATCATCACTAGCATCATCATCATCATCATGGTCATCGTCATCGTCATCCTCATCCTCATCCTCATCCTCATCATCATCATCATCACTTTCATCATCATCACTTTCATCATCATCATCATCGTCATCATCATCATCATCATCATCATCATCATCGTCATCATCATCATCATCATCATCATCATCATCATCATCATCATCATCATCATCATCATCATCATCATCATCATCATCATCATCATATTTCTCCCCACTCCCTCATCCGTCCATCCAACCTCATCCTTCTCCTCCTCCCTCCTTCGCACGGTTCGTCCGTCCCCCTCTTTGTTCCCGCACTTCCCTGATCACCTCAACTCGCCTGGAAATCGTTTCTGGATGGGTTGGTGGGGATAGTTTTTACTCGGGCGAGCGCGCCGGCGGCGAGTCAGGTCAAAGCGGGCTACGCAGAGACTACTTAGGCAAAGGAAACGCGACAAAAACAAACAGACCAACGCGCGAGGCGACGGCTAAGCGCGGCCGAGGCCTCAGGTGGGTGGCTGAGGGGGGATACGCGAAGCGTCTAGATTTGACTGCCATCCCAAGACTCGATATACACATTAAGCAAGAATGTGAACAACCAGGCACGCCTAATGAAGTCGGAAAGAACCGGCAGGCACGTTCAAGGAAGTCGGGATTCAGTATGACTTCAAGCTGAAGGTACGCTGACACCAAGACGTTCGCAAGCGATGCGGAAGACGATGGGCAAGCGCTTGGCAAGCTGCACGGCAAGCCACAGGCAAGCGATGAGCAGGCCAAATGCAACCAACGGCAATCAAAAGCGAGCCCAAGGCGAGCCGAAAAGTTGTCGGGTCAAAAGCAAGCTCAGCTTGGCAGCACGAGCAGGTGAACCACCTGAGGGCAGATCGGAAAAACAAAGGTGGGCACAGTGACAAGACAGAGGCACGCGAAAGAGCAATCGAGAATGCAACACATGTGTTTCGTCAGCGGCAAGGCGGCGAACTCCGCACCAGCGAGAAGCTAGATAGGTGCACTAATTAGCGAATTGGCCGGCGGGCAAAGAGAGGGGGGGGGGACGGCCGAAAGGAAGAAGGGACGCTCAGACGTCGAAGAGTTCGACGATGAGCAGAGCAGCAGCTAGGCGTCAAGAATGCAGCACATACATTCATCGAAAATGCTCGTCGAGGAACGGGGGGCATCCCCGAAGAAGACGGGAGGGGGGACGTCTCCCGGGAGCCCGACCCTGGGTCGTCATAGCAGCCAGCCCTCCTGCACGCAACAAGCGCAGAACCCCTGGGGGAAGCCCGCGCTGGGGAAGACGCAGGACGTCGTGTAGCCCCGACAATCGCGGGAAACCTGCTCTGGAGAGCAAGATTCCAGCGAATCCGAGGCGCAACCTCATCTGCATCCTGCAGGCTAGCAGGCTTTCACACTTCCTGGCTTTCAGACCTTATCCTCGGCCGGTGACACCACCATCTGCATCGTCGCCATGGTGAGCATCGCCTCCTGGTCAGACAGCTTCTTTGAATGCACAGCATCGCTACCAAGCAATCACGAATTGCACCAAGGAGCCGTGGTCACTCCTGCTCTGCACATCACGGCCAGCGCAGCACGCTAGCGGCGCGGACAAAGGATGAATGTCCCCTGGGCGCCCCTTTCGAGGCTTTTCCGAGTGCGGCGGGCCAACGAAGGCAGTCAAGGGTGGACCCAAGAGGCATGGATGCAAAGGGCACCCTTCGGAAGGCTACCCAGCCTTCTCATCGGTTTCGACTGTAGGGCACGGGAGGCGCCCTTCTCGGCGGTGGACAAACCTCCCCTTCGTAAACCTCCCCTTAGTGAAAACGGCCTGGGACCGAAACCGGCGGACCTGGACCCGCAAAAATGACGGCCGCGACGCCCTCTCGCGAACCGAAAACGGCCAATTCGCTAATCGACGTGTCAGGGCAAGAGGTCTGTCCACGCACGACATTCGGAAGAAGCACCCCCGCCTCCGGAACGCGTGTCAGCGCCAACGAGCGCTTGTCCACCGAGGCCCTTCAATACGACGCAGGCGGCTCAATGAGGGCCGAAACAGACTGTGCGCTATCAGCGGAGCCGACCAGGGAAATTAAGCACACGCTTGGGCTACCGCACGTCCTGAGGATCATCGATCCTTCCCGGCCGGCACTGCCAAGTCGGAGCGGCTGGGTAGCGAGAGGCCCCCCCGAATCGAGGGGAGCTTTCTGAGGGGGGGGACTGGAAATTGACACCAACACCAACTCAGGGGGGTACCTCCACGGGGGTAAGATGCTTCTGGATTTCGGTGCTGGTGGTAATCCCTCGGCCACCCGAGAAGCCCGAATATCATCATCGCCGAGATGAAGATCATCGCCCCTCGGTGGAGGCAACCGCGGAGATTCCCGGATAGCTCTCTGAGAGCTACGAGGGGTTCAGATTAGAAGCCGGCACCGCGGGGCAGCCCCCGGAGCTCGTTCCAGCTTCCAGCAGGAAGCGTCGCAGCGCCTTGTGCGAGGTCGCAGCTTGTCCCTACAGGCCTTTCCTTTCTGTTTCCCAGTACGTGTGCCGTCAAGCTTCCCAGAAGCTCCTTCGGAGACTCCTTCCAGTGAGCTGTCAAAGTTCCTTCCAGAGGCGCTGGAAGGCCTTGCCGGGGCTCCGCTGTCCAGGTTTTGGATTCCACGACTTCATTTGGTGTTGGTTCAACCTCCTGGGGAAACCAGACAGCACCGATACCGCTACTCCCCCGACCTCTCCCAGGGTGCGTTCTGACCAGAATGCCGAGGCGCATCCAGCGGTGGCGACGAGGGCCTCCCAGGAGGCCCAGACAGGGGAAAGCGGCCGAGGGGTAGCGATGTGGGTGCCTTCTCCTCCTCCGACCTCCAGGCCTCCCAGGCTTCTCCCCACGTCCTGCAGAGGGCCGATGCCCGCCCACGTGGACGGCACCACGCCGCCCTCCTCCGAGCGGCGCCAGCCCCTGGCGAGGAACAGCAGGCCCTCCTGCAGACCCCGCGCGGGCCCCACCTGCAGCGGGGCAGCCTCCCCAGTCTTGCGCCAGGCGCCAAGCTGGGGCCAGCAAGAGGAAGCCAAGACGAGGAGAAGCTCGGGCGAGAACAAAATCGGGAACCTCTGAGATTCGGCGGCTCCGGAGGTTGTCTCGGGCGCCGCGGCCTTCTCAGAGCGTTCTGGGACGCTCTGGGAGCGTTCCGGAACGCTCTGGAACGTATTCATCCTCGTCCGAGCCCCGTCCGAGGTCTGGATCATGAGACCTTGGGCGAACGCTGTCTTTTTTTTTCATCCACGGCACGACTGGAGCGGCATGGAGACAAGTCATCGAGTGAAGCCTGGATGCGATCGGGCAGCAGGAGGCCGCACAAGCCACTCGGTGGTCTGGACCCGCCTGCGACTGGCAGCGGTAGTGAAACGTCTGCCTACTCCCTGGCTCGCGCAAGGTTCATGACTCGACGCAAACTCCTGGCCGCTGGCCGGGGGTGAAAAGGCAGTCCGACATGTGGCTATCCCCCTCCCCCTTTCCCCCTCCACGGGGGTCCCAAATCCTGTCGACTCCGAATCCATCCTCCGTCGCCTCCAAGATGCCGAAGATGCCTTCCAAGACGGTCTAAGAAGAGCTCGAAAGCGACAAAAAGAAGCCTCCGAACATCCGAGATGGCGTCAAGACAACACCTCGGCGCTCTGGCCTCGCCTGCACTGTCCTCCACCGGCAAAAAAAAAATGTCTCCCTGCGGCTTGGGCCAACGGAGAGATACAAAAGGTATTAACATCGGTCTGCGCGGGAGGACAAACAACAAGTGAGATGGCATCCAGAGGATGTACGCGTGCAGTGACTCTGCGGGCTTAAACCCAATCGTTCGGCCCTGCGACTGATTCACAGGGCGGAACGACTGGAGCGGCATTGATATTAAATTGAAACCACGCGCGTTCTGCGCGAACGCGCGCTTTGGTTCTATCAAACTGTGGCAATGTCGCAGGGTTTACAGCATCGGCGTACAGAAAGATTACGACCAATCATGATTAATCTGCATGCTACTCTCAGCAAGCGACGGTGCTGCAAACCCACGAACTTGTGCCGAACTTCCCGAACAAACGAAAAGACCGTGTTCCACTTGACCCGACACGGGATAGTCTATATCGGTTGTCGACCCGGTGGACTTGCTCCACGCGGCGGCGTTATATGGAGGCCGCCCACGCTGGAGGAATGCCAAGCTGTTCAAGCGATTGGCGCGCGCCTTCTCTGCAGTATAGAATCCGCGCAGTTCGATCGGCACTTCTGCGCTGTCCGTGCGATTGGACAGCCAGCTGTTCTTACGATCAGGCCGACCTTTCGGCAAGCCACTTCTGTGCTCACGCTGGGCTGGTCGCGTCGGATGGAAAAAATGAAGCGCCCCTGGGCGAGGCCCTCGGTCAGCAATGCCCGGGTCTCCGATGGCGCGCCGTACTCATATCAGGCTGCCACTCTCGCATCGCCCGCGCCTTCTTCATCCTCGGAGGTACGCCCACCGACGTAGAAAAGTGGGACACGATGCTCCGTCAGGCACGTGCAGGAGCAACGAGGAATGGCGGAGGATGAAACGAAACTTACTTGACACAGAAGGCATGCGCTGTCACGCCGGCTGGCGGAGCACATGCAGGAGGAACGAGGAGTGACGGCGGACGGGGTTCTCTGTGTGCCGGCAGGGGGGTGGGGTGGCAACGCGCCGACACTCCGACACTCTGTATAATCTAGTGACCTAGTGCAGCCTATCGGCGGTCTCGTCACAGGAGGCCGCGCAGACCACTCGGCACTCTGGCCCCGCTCACACAATCCTCTCCCGCGCAGGGATGATGAAAAGTCAGCCTGCCCCTCGCTCGCGCAACGTTCATGACTCCACGCCGGGGCTGCAGGTGAAGCGGCCTGGATCAAGAAGGCTGTGCAACCCAATCAGATGCGGATGCATAGTAGAACATAACGTGAATACCAACATGACTGGCGATCTCCAGGCTGTTGAAACCACTCTGCCAAAACTAACGGGAAGTATGATAACAATGAGCCATACACACACTCCATCCACAATCGACTCCACGCACGTGGACAAAAACCAATTCCTCAAGCTCGCCTCTCTACTCTGGCCACTCGCTATGTCTAGCATCCCTTCGTCAGAGAACAAGGCGTAGCCAAGGCAACTATGAAGTGCGATCTGTTCCGAGATCATGTCACTGACTATGGATGCGAAAATCGTATCTATCTGGATCACAACAGAGTGCGGATCACGGGAGAAGTAAAGGTTAAGAACGTGCGCGGCAACTAGCATGTATGTGAGATTGAAAAATAATTCAACAGTCCCAGAGGTTACAATTACAGCCGTGGCCACACTATAGTCAGTCAAGTTCATCATGTATCTGCGCAGAGCTATCGCAATACTTACATCATAAGCAAAGAATAAAGACCAGCTTCCCAGCAGTGGCAAGTCGATGCCCTTCATAAGAAAACGTGCCAAAAACCCCAGGCCCCGAGCGACAATGTAAC